AAATTGTGGTGAATTTAGTTAAATTTTTAGTAATTATATGTAAACGTAATGTAAATTGTGGTGAATTTAGTTAAATTTTTAGTAATGCTATGCAAACGAAGTGCAAATTGTGGTAAATTTAGTTAAATTTTTAGTAATGTTATGCAAACGTAATGCAAATAGTGGTAAATTGTAGTGTATTTTTAGTAATATTATGTAAATTGTTGAAAATTTAGGTGAATTTTTCAGCAATGTTGTGCAAACGTAATACAAATTGTGGAAAATTGTGGTGAATTTTGCATTTTTTTGGTAAATGTTAGCTAGATTTTTGAATAATTTAGTGAAATTTAGGATAATTTCGGACAATTGAGTGAAAATGTTTTACCGATTTTGGACAATTGAGTGTAAACGATATAAATGCAACATTTTCGAAGATAATTTAGTGAAATTTTGCAATAATTTCAGATAATTGAGTGAAATTTTCGGACAATTGAGCGAAATTTAGTAATAATTTTAAACAATTTAGTGTAAACGCCATGACAATTTAAAACACTGATTTATAATCTATTATAATTTTATTTATTAATAAATGCACAATTATTATTATTTAACGATAATCTATATTTATCAGATATCCGATAATCTATGGATAATCTGCACCAGTGCCAAAATAGAAAACCTAAAAAAAAAACAAACAAAACATTAATATACGTTTCGTAAAAAAAATAAATTAAAGAAACATTTCGAAGTTATATACCTTCGAAATGTTGAATTCCATATGCATGTCCAATAAGCCGCTGAACCTAAAAAAGAAAAAAAATGAAACATTAATTTATGTTTCGTGAAAAAAATTAAATTAAAGAAACATTTTGAAGTTACATACCTTCGAAATGTTGAATTCCATACGTCCAATGAGCTGCTGAACCTAAAAAAGAAAAAAAAACGAAACATTAATAACCGTTTCGTTGAAAAAAATAAAAATAAAAAATATTTCGAAGTATACCTTCAAAATATTGAATTCCGGTCTGTCCAATAGCCGCTGAACCTAAAAAAAAAAAAATGAAGCGTTAATAAACACTTCGTTGAAAAATAAAATAAAAAAATTTCGAAGTATACCTTCGAAATATTTCCTTTCATTTTCCCTTTCCCTTTCGTTCTTACCCTTCCCTTTCGTCTTCTCTTTCGTTTTCTCTTTTCCTTTACATTTTTCACCTTCCCCTTTCATTTTTCACATTCCCCTTTCGTTTTTCACCTTTCCCTTTCGTTCTCATCTTTCTCTTTTCTTTCATTCTCACCTTTTCCTTTCATTCCTTTAACCTATAAAAAAACAAAAAATAAACGAAATTTAAATAATGTTTCGTTATATAATAAAAGAACACCCCACCAAATGCCCGGAGTTTCCTTTGTCTCTTCCAATTACTTGAATGGGTTCTTCAATTCATTCACCTTTGCCAAGCACTTTCTTTTTGAACTTCTTAACCATTTTAGTTCCAATTTGGCAGAAGTGGATGTTAAGGTGATCTATAAAAAAAATTGAAACATTAGTTAACGTTTAATTAAGAAATAAAGAAAAAAATATAAACAAAAACAAAATTCCCTTTATTACCTTCCACCCAAAGTCCGGTTCGTGAATTCGTTCCGGCGTTCCTACAAAAAGTAAAGGAAAGAAACATTTAATATCATTTCTTTAAAAAAAAACAATAAATTAAGTTTCGCAACGATTCATTGCAAAACTCACTGGGTCATTTCATCCAAACGTCCGGAACCTACAAAAAGAAGGAAAGAAACGTTAGTTAACGTTTCTTTTAATAAAAAAAAATAAAAAATTAAGTATCGCAATGTAACATTGCGAAACTTACCGGTTTGTTTCCATCATTCTAATGTCCAGAACTTACAAAAAGTAAAAAAGAAACGTTAATATAAACGTTTCTTATAATAAAAAAAATAAAAATTAAGTTTCGCAATGTAACATTGCGAAACTTAGCATCATCCTAACGTCCGGAACCTACAAAAAGTAAAA